AGCGTGTTTCGCGCTCCCCAGTGGCACGGCGCCACGCAAACGCACTTCCCACCAAGACCTCGCAAATCCGCATGGCACTGCGACATCACGAACGTAGTTCGCCACACGGTCTGCCCACACACAGCAAACACTTCTGAGTCCAGCTCCGACCCGCATACATTTGCACTACAAACTCACGACTTCTGAGTCCAGCTCCAAAAAGCTCTTTCCCGCACTACATTTGCACTACAAGCTGGCCAGGTCTGAGAGTCCAGCTCCGAAAAGCTCTTTCCTGCACTACATTTACACTACGGACTGGCCACTTCTGAGTCCAGCTCCGATAAGCTCTTTCCCGCACTACATTTGCACTACAATCTGGCCAGGGACACACCCGAAACGCAATCTCACCTGCACTTCGCGCCCTCGACATGCACGATCTCCGCAGAGGGTGGCGCGCGATCCATCCAAAGCGCAATCTCACCTGCACTTCGCGCCCTCGACACGCACGATCTCCGCAGAGGGTTGCGCGCGACCAAGCCAAAACGCAATCTCACCTGTATTTCGCGCCCTCGACACGCACGATCGCCGCAGAGGGTTGCGTTTCGTGGTGCTCCGGCGGCACCGCCCCCGGCCTTAAGAGAGAAAGAAAAGAAGAGCGACAGGATACGCAGATGTGAGATGTGCAGATGTGAAGATGTGAAGATGTAGATGTGCAGATGTGAAGATGTGACGATGTCGATGTACAGATGTGAAGATGTGCAGATGTGAAGATGTGAAGATGAGCAGAGATGTAGATGTGATACAGATGCGCAATCGTAGATGTGCAGATGTGAAGATGTGAAGATGTAGATGAGACGTAGTTCTACAAACTCTTTCTTACGAAAAACCCTTCGCAGACGCTCTCGGGAAAAATGAACGTTACTTCGCGTTCGGTCCCCAGCAGGTTGAGCACCTGGTCTGACCTGGCAGTTTCTTTGAGCGCTCTTGAATTGTGATGGATTTATACGGGATTATACCAGGAAAAAGGCTCATCTTGAATGGATGATGTCACAAACAAAAAATACATGTGAAACATCTATTATAATATATATTAAAACTAGACTCTTGTGTGGGTTCTCCCGAGGTTCAAGCCATGTGGGAATAGCCGTTGGGTCCCTGCTGTGGTTGTGCCTTCGATGTCCAACGCTACTTTCACACCCACACAACACAAGAAAGTACAAAAAACAATATGTTCTTTTGAGTTACTAGAATACATGGCCTCTAACCTAATAGCAATGACCTCCAACCTATTACCGATGGCCTCCAACCTAATAGCACTGAGAAAGAGGCACGTCTTCCTTTTGGCCGCCTCTGCTTTTTTGCCTGCAATTCCAGACTTGCCCCAAAACGTCTTCATGCACACAAAATGACGAGGCACGTCTTGCGCTGCCCAGTGTTGGTATACCGTATGAAGCTCCTGAAGTCATGGGTCATTTCAAGATAAGAAAAAGTCAAAACGCCTCCTATTGAATCCAAAATACAGTAGTCAAGTGGGAGATGATGAAATGTTTATAGACCTAGAATGTTGAATCGGCTTTGGGGGGTGGAATAATTGTTTGACAAATATTGTTTGATGTTTCTTTCTACCCTAACTATACAGTTGTTTTTCACCGCTATTGGCTCCTTTTGAGATCCTCGCTTAGTTTCTGCCTGAATCCTTAGGTTCTGACTTGATAACTTCCTTTTGACATTGCCCGAAACAATTCTTCAAGGGAGTGTCCCAATTGAGTTTTGTACATTGTTTTGGAGCTGGAATACTAAAAAGATCCGGCTGCGACAAAGATCGCCACTGAGCTTCGTATGGATTTCTTTTGTGTCCTTCGATTTCCTACAGTATGCGTGGCCTCTTGGCACATCTATCACATATCACATGGTCACATGGGTGTCTGGACCACACAAATACGTCTTGGACCAAACCTTACATGACCTCGGGCAGCGCGATCCTCCAAAAGCTCCAAGGCTAGGGCTTGGTCCCCACTGGCCAAAGTTCCCTGCAATGTCAAAGAACTTGACAAAGCTCCATTGCCAAGCAGGGTGGAAAGCACCAGGTAAGGCAAACGCGACAGCGGCATCATCCAACTCCACAGACAAACGCTGTAGTCCTTTTGCCACCTGCCGATCATGATGTTTCTGAGTGACTGACAGAGGTCTCTGCAAACAACTTAAAACTTTGTCATACATACTACTGGTCAGGTGTTGCTCCAGTCCAGTGTTCACAGAATGGATGAGAATAAAAGCCAGTGACTGCCTAGGCGTGTTCGTACAGTATAGTATAGCACGCTCTGCACATACAAAAACAATTCTACATGTCCTCAGTGATTCTAGCAACTCCTCACACATTGCAAAGCGTTGTCAAAAGTTGTGCTGGTGGACACAATGCTGCCCCAATGACCCTAAATTTAACGGGCGCAGCAAAAACAGCCAGTCACAGCCACAATCCAAACATCCACATAATAATTCATGTCCACACAATAACTCATGAAAACCAAACCGCAGGATGCAGGGAAAAAACTCTGGACAACTCTTTGGTTCGGGTTTTTGAGTGAGAGACCTTGGAGATTTCGCGCGGCTTCCCACAATGAAGAATCGACTAGCAAACTAGGAAAGTGCCTCCCAGCGAGTTTCCTTGCAACACACATCGTCACCAATCCACTAGGAAAGCCAGTTGCAACTGAGCATGAATGTCATAAAGCAACTCAAACCCCTGACTATGACTGCAATAAACAACTGTCCAAAGTGTGGACTTCGCAACAAAAATGCATAAGCACCCAGCACCCTTAAAACCATCGCATCACTATATAAGGTAGCTTTGTCTTGCCGCCCAACCTCACGTTGAAATTTCAGCCAAATCCAAATACACACACTGGGAAGGGTTATTGAAAAGAACTTTGGAAAGATGTTAAAGCCCAGAACCTTCTAAGTCCACTGCCTACGATGTACAGATGGACAGCGTCGGTTAGACGAAACACATGGTGAGTAGAGTTCTCAGCTCACTGAAAGGGACACATCATCCATGCATCTCCCGTCATGACTGCACTGAAGTAACTGCAAAGACTGGAAGAAACTGTTCTGGTTACTCAAGGGCCTCCCAACGGAGGGCCCCATGACATGTCTCAACATGTACTGAATGACTTTCATCAACCTCTAGAACAGAATGGAGCGTTGTTTTTCCATGAATGCTCTGATACAGAGCCGCAAAACGTGCCTAGACCTAGACATCGGCAGCTTATGGTCGGTATGCCACACCACTGCATGAACTCACTGAGGAAGAATCGCTGCAAAAGCAAAAATCTTGTTCAAGTGACAGCGAAACATCCAGCGTGTATTGCGGTGTCGGTTCGTTCGCTTCGGCCTTTGAATGTTCGTTGCAAGACTCTGACGTGCCCGCTCGCCTCGAAACAGGGACCCCTTCAGCCCGCGTCTACCATAGGCGCTTTTAGGCTACTTGTTTGCGTGTGCTGCCATAGGGCATCGCATCTGAAGGTGGAGAACCTTCATCGCATCCTTTCGTGAGGATTGGAGAAAAGCAGAGCTACCGAGGACAAGAACGACTTTGACCTGGTTTCCGCTTCTTTGCATTTTTGTTGGTCGCTTTCGCTTTGCTGCCAATTCTCGATACGAGATTGGTAGCGGAGCGTGAATTCGCTCCGGGACCTGACGTCGCTTGCTCTTCGTGATTGAGCCCCTCGATTACCTGATCGGGAGCGGCGGACCTACGCCCAATACTATCCTTTGCCCGACTCACTGCGCGTGTCTTGACGAATAACCTCATGGAGGCGGCAAAGGATGAGAAACTGTTTCGATGCTCTTGGAATGGTGATGTCTCGACATTCCAGGACTATGTGCGGCGAGTCCGGCTTGCCTTCAGCCGCACGAAGAAGAAGCATCGAAAACATCTTGCAGCAGACTTGGTGTCCCAGCTGACGGGACGTGCATGGACGATCACCCAAGAGATCAGCCATGAAAGGTTGGTCAAAGAAGATGGCGCAAAGTACCTCGTCCAGTTCTTGGAATCCCATCTTGCTCGAGTTCCTGTGCCTGACGCTGGAGCTAAAGCAGAAGAGTTGTTAGTGAAGCTCCGTCGACCCTTCGGCATGAGCATGAGTACTTGGTGCGCCACCGTTCGTGAACACTACCGGCAACTCCAACGTGCCTTGAAGAGAGCAGCACCCCTCAATCCTTCCGGAGAGAAGGAAACTACTCCTAAGAGGTCTCCATCGGTGCCATCAACATCGTCTCCTCCGTCTCCGACCCGATCAAGTCGAAAGACATCCAAGAGGACAGTGCCTGAGCCAGAGGCACCCGATGAAGAAGAAGACGATGAAGACGATATGGACTTCGAGTACCCGGACTCGCCTGATGGAGATGACCCAGGAGAAGAGAGTGATGCTCGTCGCCAATGGCATGGCCGAGGGCACAAGGAAAAGTCCCAAAGGTCTGATTCATCTGATGATGATATGCAGTGGGGAGTTCGACTTTGGGATGACATGGATTCGAGCCTTCCGGAAGTCCTTCCACCTGAACTTCTTGGGTGGTTGATGCTTCGTCGAAGTAGCCTGAGCGCCCAACAACGCTTGAACATCCTTGCATCAGTTGGCAACAGCTTGAAGGCCGACGACATTGAAAGAGGTCTTCGTGGCGCTGAGGAAGAACTTCGACTTCATGAACGAGACCCCGAAGGCCGAGGAAAATGAAAAGGGAGTGCACATCGACAGAAACCTAGAGCCAACTTCTGGGTTGAACAAGATGGTGAATGGGGCCTCTTGATCGATGACCAGGAGGCGAACGAGTGGCTTGAAGATGGTGCAGTGCATTGGGTTGGCCATGATCTTTCGACCGTCTATGCCTCGATGGATGAAGGGACGACTCGAACTCCAGAAGTCCAGAGCCGACCTGACAGCAATGGTTTCTGGCATCAAGATGAAGACGGAGGCTACACCTTCTGGAGCAAAGCCACTGATGGCGAATACTACACCCAAGATCAAGCCGGCACCTTTTGGGCTTGGTCCGACTTTGAAGATGATCAAGTGTGGTGGTCAGCCACGCCGGAACAGCAAAAGGAGATCTCCGAGGCCTACGCCAACTATGAAGGAAAGGTGAGGTCCTTTGCAGAATCCCGTGCCCTTCTACGTCAGAAGAACTTGAGCAGAGGTTTCTACCCGAAGAAGGGCAAGGGCAAAGGAAAACCATCGAGCTTCTCCAAGGGCAAGGGTGCAAAGTCGGCTCCAATGCCCACTTTCGTTGTGGAGAGCCCCGGACCTTCGAATGATGTGTTTGCAACTTCCGGAACTCCAGGCAGTGCTGGCTACACCGGATGCTTCGTGTGCAGAAGTAAAGGTCACACCTTCCGCAACTGTCCTTCTCGCTCAAACACCTCATCTTCTTCAAAGGGTTCTGGGAAGATCTTCATGGTCGCTGAGGTTGAAGAGCCCTATGAATCTGAGATCCCTGAAGTGAGCCCTAGAATGGACATCCCTCAGATTCTTTCCTCTGAGGTCTTGCAGCCAGAACTTCAAGGGTATGGTGTCCTTGACACTGGCGCCACGGAATCAGTGAGTTCCTTAGCGGCCCTGGAGTTCATCCACCTCAGGAGGACCGAGTTGCTTGGGCATGGAAACCATGTGACTGTGATCCCAGGGCCTCAGAAGATGTTTCGTTTTGGAAACGGTTCCCTTCAGTTCAGTGAATCCTATGTGCACCTGAAACAAACTGTTGGCCCTCATGAGATTGATCTTGGCGTGTTCACGCTGGATTCGAAAGGAGTGCCTTTGTTGATCGGAGTTCGGACACTTGAGAGGCTAGGTGCGATCATAGATGTTCACCAGAGTATCCTGGTGTTGAAGACGGTGGATCCACGACTGGTGATCCCCTTGAGACGGTCTAGAACAGGCCATTTACTGTTGGACTTGTGCTCGAATTGGCTGGATGGAGGGGCAAGAATCCTCTTCATGCAAGATTCTGCTGAAGCTGACGCTGTTGAAGGTGAAAAGATTTTCGTGATTCAAGAGGAGTTTCCTGCAGTCTTGCTTCATGCCCCACACTATCCTTCGACTACCACGACATGTTTGAGTCCCACTATGGCCTCCACGTCTACTACGACGGCCTCCCTACCTCATGAACTACTTCATGGAAGGCACCACGAGGTCAAGGTGATCGGCAGTCAAGTGCTTTGTGATTCAGTACATGCAGTCCATGAACCACCATGTTCACACGACAGTTCATCAACTTTGGTCGAAAACCTTTTTCCTGTTTTTGAAGAGCTTCATCAAATGCCAGAGTTCGTAGAAGAGCCAATCGTTTTGGAAGAGACATTTGGAAGTACCACACCTTTCTCTCCGGCCCTCTTGGCTGAAGAACGCAATTCGGATTTAGGCATGAGCCTGCGGATCTTAGCGATCCTTGCCACTGCCTCGTTCACTTCTCCCCATGGCGGCAACCACTACTCCGAAGAAGACCACATCCACCCGAGCCAAGGAGAAGCAAATGCTCGAGGTGACGAATGCCGCTGGGACGTTCGAAGTGGATGTCAACCGGTTCGACACCGACCGGATGTGCGGCCCGGATCACCGGGACCCCAGGCTCCTTGGGGATCCTTGCCAAGGAACGCACGACCCAGCTCCTCCGGGTCGCGGCTCACCGACGGGCTCCAACGCCCATGCATACTGGGCGGCATGCAATCGATGCCAACTCCGGCTCTTGTATGTCCCCAGCTACGGAGCTCACGGCCTGACAAGAGCAGCAGGTCCGTTACCTTCGGACACGGCAGCCAAGGTGAAGGAGTTGGGAAACTCAGCGGCCTACAGCCCAGAGATGCGCAACAAGAACGTGGGCCTGGACGCTGCCGAGAATTCCTTGATGAAGCGCTTGGAAGTCATCCGGGCTCAGAAGGAGCAACATCGTCAAGGCAAGCCGGAGACGAAACCAAAGGCCAAGGCAACTCAGGGCTACATCAAGGAAGAGCCGCCGAGAGATCCGGAAGTCATGAGCCAGACGCCTGGTCGGAAGGCTCGCAAACCCGAAGATGCAGCAGAGCTCCTGGAGTACCAGAACCGGAGTTCAGAAGCTTCATGGAGCATCGCTGGAACTCCACCTTCCCCCCGACCAGACGTAGGCGAGATCCAGTACAAGGCCGAAGAAACTTTGGATCTTGGAGCAGTGCTTTCAAAGTATGACATCATTCACAAGAATGTGGACATGGATCCTCGCACTGTGCTCTTACAGAATGACACGGTCCTTGAGAATTTGGCCATGGCAATGAGCAGTGATCTCCAACAGAATGAGTTCGTCCCTGACAATGACGACATCGAGAATGAGGTGCCTGACTATCTGCTCGAACCTTTGAGGTACTATGAGGCTCCGGGAGAGGAGCAGTTGACCGATGATGAGCACGGATATGGTCCAGAAAAGTTAGAAGATTTGGCACCGGAAGACCAGAACTTCATCGAGGAGACGCTGCAAGAGAAAAGGCTAGCTTTTGAGGATTGTTTGGCATCATGCTCCTCACCAACGTCTCCTGAGAAGTTGGACCTCATGGAACTCTGCTGTGAAGAGGATAGCTTGATCACCCGAACATGGCGTTCCTCTGGAGGAAAGCCCGGTCGGATGGGGTTGTTCAACCAGTGCAATCTTCTCACAGACGCTGGAACCCAAGAGGCAATTAGGTTGGTGCAACTTCATCGACCCGAGATTCTGTGGGTCGCCTTCCCGTGCGGCGCAACTTCACCTCTTCAGCATCTCAACGAGCTCACCCCAGAAGGCCGAAAGCGCAGTCAGCGCCGAAAGGCCCGCTCACGTCGACTCATCAAGAATGGCATCAAGGTGATCGAAGCTCAGTTGAATCAGGGCGGAGAGATTGTTCAGGAATGGCCACTTCACAATGAGGCCTGGAAGTTTGACATCGTGAAGGACCTGTGGAACGCCCTGAGTGAAGTTGGAAGATGCGAAGATGTTTTGCTGGACGGCTGCCAGTTTGGCCTGAAGTCGCCTCAGGGAGAATTCATGAAGAAGCCCTGGCGTTTGCGGTCATCACGCCCGGGCCTGATGACTTCAATGGGACGCCGTTGTGATGGCCGGCATCCACACACCCCAGTGATGGGAGGCGATTTAGCAAAGAGGACAGCCTTGTACACTCCAGCTATGTGCAGGGCAGCTTGCAGGTGTTTCAATGAGTTCCTGAACCAGTCAAGAGTTTTTGGGGCACTTGAAGTGAAGATTGACAGAGAAGGCCTCAAGACCCTCACTGAAAAAGAGCTCGCTCATTTGGCTGAAACGGCCTTGAAACTTCATCGCCTTTGTGGACACCCCGGAAGTCATGCATTGGTCCGCACTCTCGCGGCCAAAGGAGCTGATGGGAAGCTGCTCGCCGTTGCCGAGCAGTTGAAATGCATGGAGTGCCTTGAGGGCACAATGAAGAAGCCATCGCCCAAGGTGTCTTTGGAGAAAGAGCAGAAGCTGTGGCGAACCCTCCAGATCGACGCCTTCGTCCTTAAGAAAGGTGATGCAGTACACCACTTCCTCCTGATGCTGGATGAGGCTTCGGGTTTCTCTGTGGTTCATGAGATGATGTCGCACAGTGATGAACAGCATGAGAACATCACAGCACAGGCCACTCTGGATGCTTTAGTTCAATGCTGGTTTCAATATTTTGGCACCCCAGCTTGCTTGCGATGTGATTTGGAAGGAGCTTTCAGAGGTGATCTTTTGGAATCTTTCTGCAAGAGCCGCGACATAGAGCTTTCCTTCGTGCCTGCCGAACATCATGAAGCAACTGGAGATGTAGAGCGAGCAATCGGAGAACTGAAGAAGAAGATGCTGGCATACCTCCGGCAGGACAATTCTGCTGAACCACGCCTTGCTGCGTACGAGATGTGCGCTGCACATAATCGTTTTGCTCGCGTGAGTGGTTTTTCACCAATTCAATGGGCTTTTGGCCGAGATCTTTCTGATGATCCTGGACTCGCGACTTTGAGCGCAGCTGGTGATCCAACCTCAGAGATGAACAAGAACCTTCAGCTAAGACTTGATGCTGAGGCTCACTATCGAAAGATGCAGGCTAGGGCAAAGATCTCTCGTGCTTTGAACGCCAAACCAGACCGATCGACGCAGTACATTCCTGGAGATCTGGTCTACTACCGGAGATACAAGTTCCCCAAGGATACCACAGCACATCGAGAGCTTGATCTACCTCAAGGAAGTCATTTCCGGTGGTTTGGCCCTGCTCGAGTTTTAGCCTGCGAAACCCGAGTCTCTGAGGATCCTCTTCTTCGTCGACCTGGCAACGTGGTGTGGATCATAGCCCAAGGAAGACTCAAAAGGGCCCACACGTCTCAACTCCGGCATTCCAGTGAGAGAGAACGGTTGATTGCAGAGGCAACTTCGGCCCCGACACTTCCCTGGACGTTCACCGCCCTTGGACAAACCCTCGACAAGGGCCAGTACGAGGACTTGATCCAAGACAAACCTCCAACTGGCCAAAGGATGAGACGGGGACGCTCAGCGGTGAGAAGCCGAAGCAGAGGACCACCTGTTCACCAACCTCCTGCTCAGCGAGATCCTCTTCCAGAACCTCCTGTTCCTGCCGCTCGGCCAGAAATCAGAGAGACTTCAGATGATTCCGAAGAAGAGCTCATCCCTGTTCCAGAGGAGTCAAGACCTCTGAACCAGAGCGAGATGCCGCCAGAAGAACGGGAGACGCCCATGGACGTTCAACGTCTTCTACATGATCCGGCCTACATGCCAATGAAGAGGACTTCCACGGAAGACCTGGGGGCCAAGAGAAGTGAGTTTCTTCGAGCTCGGCATCAGCATGAGATGGCAGACAGGCCATTACACGTGAAGAAGCAACTAGAGTCTTCAGCCTCCTCCTCACAGGCTTTATGGCTTGATGATGTTGATCAGGACTTTGTGCTGAGCGTGATCATTCCGATCCCCGAGGACGAAGCAGCTTGGAAAAGGGTTCTGAAAAAACCCGGCCGCTTTGTGGCGAAATCAGTGCAAAAGGGAGCAGAAGTGGCCTGGGAGAAGCTCTCGCCATCCCAGAAGGAGAGCATGAAGGAGGCAAAGATGTTAGAGGTCTCCCAATGGGTCAGCCAGCGAGTTTGTGAACGCTTCAATGGTCTGGTCCCAAGATCCAGGCTCATGCGCACAAGATGGGTCCTTGTGTTTAAGGCCATCGACGGGGATGAGAAGCACGTCAAGTGTAAAGCTCGCATAGTCCTTTTGGGCTACACGGACCCCGACCTGGAGGACCTTGCCACTGGAGCTCCGACAATGACACGTCGGTCTAGACAGTTGTTGCTGGGCCTTTCATCTTTGAAGCACTGGAGCATCACCAAGGCGGACGCCAAAAGCGCCTTTTTGCAGGGGCAAGATACTCAACGAGCTCGTGATATTTACATCACACCAGTTCCCGAGTTGGCCGAACAGCTCTCTTGCAAACCTGGCGAATGCGCCAAGATGTTGAAGGCTGCTTATGGCCTTGTCTCAGCACCTCGTGAATGGTACGGAGAGGTCAACAATGCGATCACCACCAAGCTGGGCATGAAGCGCCTGACCACCGATGGTTGTGTTTGGATTCTGCAGGATCCCAAGTCTCAGGAGACCCTCGGCTATGTCGCAAGCCATGTGGACGACTTTTTGATCTCCGGATCTCCTGACCATCCCTTGTGGCAGAAGACAGTAGAAGCCTTTAAGGGAGCTTTTTCATGGAGCCCATGGGAATCCACTCCGTTCACCCACTGTGGCATTGGTGTGTCTCAAGAAGCTGATTGGAGTTTTCGTCTGTCACACCACACCTTCGTGGAGGAACTTCGCCCCATCGTCATAGATGACAAGAGTGAGATGGTCACAGCTCAAGAAATGAATCAAGCTCGGGCTTTGCTGGGAGCAATGCAATGGCGCTCCATCCAGACTGGACCTCAGCACTCTTCGAAAGTGTCTTGGCTTCAGAGCTCTCTTCCAAAAGGGGGTAAAGATGTCCTGCACCAGATCAACAAGTTGAGCAGAGAACTGCACCACCAGCGCTACCTGTCCGTGTCCACTCGACAACTGGGAGCCGAATCTGTGGATGACATTGGATTCGTGTGCTACACGGACGCTGCGGTGGCCAATCGGCCGAACTTTGCATCAACGGGCGGACACTTGGTGGGAATGGTCCATCGTTCCTACCTTCAAGGCAAGAAAGGATTTGTCAATCCCATCTCATGGAGGTCTCACAAGTTGGTTCGTGTGGCACGTTCCTCACTGTCAGCTGAAGTTCAAGCAATGGCTGAAGGAGAACAAGAACTGATGTTTGTTCGGGCAGAATGGTCAGAACTTCTCGGACGACCACTTGACCTTCTGCATCCAGAACTTTCTACTCAGCATGTGCCTGCAGCCATCATCACGGACGCGAAGTCCGTGTACGACTGTGTGAGCAAGGGTGACACAACCAGCTTCAATATGAAGGAGAAATACACGGCACTTGAGCTGATGGCAGTGTTCAACCACCTTGAGGCTCAGCGGACAGCCTTGCTGTGGGTGGCTTCGGACAGTCAATTGGCTGATGGACTCACCAAGGGATCTGCCAGCGAGATGCTGACCAGATTCTTCCAAGGACATCAAGTTTGGGCGGCCTCCTTCGATCCCGAATTCGTCGCCGCGAAAAAGAAGAAGGGCAAGACTTCCACCACGGCTACCTCACATGAGCCGGATGAGGAAGCCGAATTTGATGAGGACCTTTCGTGGCGGGATTTGGTTTCCAAGTCCAGGACGGCACGATCAGAGACTTTTCACGAAGAGTTTTTGGGGCATGTCGGTTCGTTCGCTTCGGCCTTTGAATGTTCGTTGCAAGACTCTGACGTGCCCGCTCGCCTCGAAACAGGGACCCCTTCAGCCCGCGTCTACCATAGACGCTTTTAGGCTACTTGTTTGCGTGTGCTGCCATAGGGCGTCGCATCTGAAGGTGGAGAACCTTCATCGCATCCTTTCGTGAGGATTGGAGAAAAGCAGAGCTACCGAGGACAAGAACGACTTTGACCTGGTTTCCGCTTCTTTGCATTTTTGTTGGTCGCTTTCGCTTTGCTGCCAATTCTCGATACGAGATGCGGATGGCATCAAAGTATTGAGCAGCAGCAAAATCCGCCGCGCATCCACCCTGTTTGAATAGGGCCCCGGCTGATGTGACCTTGCGCAGGCAAGAAGGATAGGGAGATGAAGACATGGAGGACAAAACAACACGAGTGTATGTGGTTGCGATGAGCAAGGAACCAAGTGTGCAGGGACAACCGATGAGTCAAGACCTCCTTGTAACAACCTCAACGACATGAAACCTGGGTTACATGCACGAGCGCACGAACGCGCTAAGGGCCGGACCAGTGTGCGCGCAAAAGAGGGAAAGGATGAGATGACCAGACATGAAGGCAGAAAACACATGAAAAGAAAGAGGGAAAGAAAAGTATGTAAATGAAACGATGAAAAGTGGAAACAAATGGAAGGGGCCCAAACATCATTAGAGCAAACCTAAGAGAACCATGCCTCATTTTTGCATGTATGTGCTGTGTGTGTGCACCTGACGCAGGTCCGCAGGAGCTCAATAGTACACAGGTTTCCCAAAGGTGATTCTGCACAATGGCAGCTCCCGTACGAAACAGCTGCGCTCGAGGCGAGTTCGTGAACGGCTTCTAGAAACCGCCAGATGTGCCCGAAGCAGATAGCACCGTCACTACTGACGTCTGATTTTTGGGGTTCCGCCATGGGCCCCGACTACTTTGGGGGAAGGCCCCTGCCATCTTTAGAGTCACCCGCGGGCGCTTGACGGTGTCGCCCGGTCTGGCATGTACCCTGTTCACATTGGGAAAGGTTAGTGAAAAGAACTTTGGAAAGATGTCAAAGCCCAGAACCTCCTAAGTCCACTGCTTACAATGTACAGATGAACGGGCGACACCAACGGTTAAACGAAACACATGGTGAGTAGAGTTCCCAACTCACTGAATTGGACACATCATCCATGCATTTCCGTCGTGACTGCACTGAAGTTACTAGTTAACAGCCAAGGCCAATAGGAAATGAATGGTACCATCGAGGCAGGTACGTCCAGCTGGCCAAGCTGGATATCCCATTTCACTGGTAGCTTCGTTGGACGCAGTCCCAGTGCGTGCAATAGCGGTTCACATACACACACGCACACACTCACTGACTCACTCACCCACCCACGCACTCACTCACTCATTCATACACTCACTCACTCACACACACACACTTAGGATAGGGTGTACTGAACTGAAAGCGGTGCCACACGCCGGCCTAGGGTTCCATTTCCTAAGAGAACCAGTAAGGACCTTCGAATCCTGGAGGTCTTAACAGGAAAGGAGGCCAAAAGCGTAAGGTCGAAGACGACGAACAGGGCGAAATGACGACGATCGCTCAAGTCTGCAGCAAGCGAGGTTCTGGGCTTAGCCTCGTACCATTCCGTTTGAAAAAGGCAGGTACGTAGTTCTGGCGTCCCAGAACTATATCACTGTGCGACAGATGCGTCTTCGTTGGCTGGAGACATCTGAAGCACACTCCAGCCCCCTGCTGCACAAGGAAAACAACTGTGAAGCTAAAACAATCCGAAAGGATCCCTATGATTCCAAGGGTTACACACACACGCCTCCCCGAGGGGAGGCAAGATTTTAAGCTCCGCGCCACAGGTGGTGTGAGACTCGGTGAATCGACGAATCTCACGATAGCTTGTCTTCTAATGCTAAAAGGCTTCAATCAACCAGGTGTAATTCGTCTCCAAGCATGTCAAGAATTCCAATCAACGAGGCAACGACGTGTACTTCGTCCCCAAGTAGTGGTAAGGCCAGGAACCTCTAGTAGCGTCAAAGAAACACCTAACACCTAGTAACCTAGTAGGAAGGCCAGGAGCCCCTAGTAGTATCCCAAGCTAAGGTGCCGACAAGAGGGAGGGGTAGGGAGAGACGAGAAAAAGGAGAGAAAAGAAAGGAAGGTGTTCCCAGCTACGACGCATGCGTCCAAGGACACACCAAAGGAAGAGAGGAGAAGGTTCCCAGCTATGACAAAAAGCACCCAAGGAGGGAGGAAGGAGAGAGAGAAGGAAAGAAAGAAAGAAAGAGAGAGGGAGAGAAAGGGAGAGGAGAGAAAAAAAGAAAAAAAGGCAGGTGTTCCCAGCTACGAACAAGCGTCCAAGGACACACCAAAGAAAGAGAGGGGTGATCCTGAGTGTTGCATTCAGGAAAACCCCAGGAAGCAAAGAAAGAAAGAAGGGGGCTAAGGTCCCAACAGATTCCAATGAACCTCAAAAATACTTTGACCGCTGTGGTCACCTTGTGCCCTGCCGAAGCGGCTGGCTGCTTAGACCGCTGCGGTCACGTAAAGGCATGAGCCAACTTGGAATTCCTAAGATGAGACAAAATCGGAGTTCTGGTGGCATGAGCCAGCTACTGTCCGCTGCGGACACGTACATCTCGGGGCAGGGGAGATAGCGACGTACCCCCGTTCAACGGGTCCACGGGAGGCACTCTGCGGGCTCATCCCGGGTTGGCACGAGGCCAAACACACTTAGGAAAGGGTGTACTGAACTGAAAGCGGTGCCACACGCCGGCCTAGGGTTCCATTTCCTAAGAGAACCAGTAAGGACCTTCGAATCCTGGAGGTCTTAAAAAGAAAGGAGGCCACAAGCATAAGGTCGAAGACGACGAACAGGGCGAAACGACGACGATCGCTCAAGTCTGCAGCAAGCGAGGTTCTGGGCTTAGCCTCGTACCATTCCGTTTGAAAAAGGCAGGTACGTAGTTCTGGCGTCCCAGAACTATATCAGAGACAGATGCGTCTTCGTTGGCTGGAGACATCTGAAGCACACTCCAGCCCCCTGCTGCACAAGGAAAACAACTGTGAAGCTAAAACAATCCGAAAGGATCCCTATGATTCCAAGGGTTACACACACACACGCAAGATAAAGTACGCACAAAGGCCGCCAAATGCCTAGCAGAAACTCAAGTAACCAAGGCCTGGATAGACGTTCACAACGCAACAGGGTCCCGAAGCTTCAGGACGTTTCCAAAAGCTTCAAAGATCGAACAGTCTCTACGACTTCCAAAGCGCTGTACTACAAGAAGCCTTGCAAATGCATGCCTGCCGACGCAGACTTGACATCACAGCAGGTACATCACTGGACGTCTCCAGCGATATCACAAAATGTCATGGTCATAGCCATCTTCGCGGGCTGTAGAAGTATGACATTCCCTGCAGCCCCCATGCGTGTATGTATACATATATATAAATATGTACGCGAATCTTTTCTTGATTCAAAGAGGTACTCTCTATGATGTCAGTAATGCTACATATCTCTACTATGATCTGTACTGAAAATGCTTCACACTCCTTCTTGGCAGTGTGCGCGATCGAATTGCTACTTTGAGCACTCTGCCACTGTAGTCCTGTTTCTTCCACGCAGCTCTCTCTACAGGCTCTTTTCTCTAAGGATCGGGGTTCCAGAGATTGTTGGTGTTGGTCGTGGTCTATCTGGGTTGTCTCTACTCATATAACTGCACACTCTAGCAATTCTTGATACTTATCTCCTTCCCTTTCAACTTGATCTGCTGCGTCTTCTTCTCCTCTTCCTAACAGGTTGTACTGTCTATCGCTGAGCTCCTGAAGCTTTGCTTCCAGTCGACCACACATTTGGCTTGCCTGCTCTACCTCATACTTTTCATTGACTGATAGCTCTCTATTTCCTTGTCTGAAGGTCCTTCTGAAGGTATTGCTCCTTGGTTGGCTGCTTCTAACACGCCTTCATATTGTCTTTCTGTTGATCTCATGTCTTCCAAGCTCCTTCTTGCTAAGAAGTTTCCTGCGTTGATCTCTCCCATCACGTGATAGGTGATTATAGTTTGTCTGTTTGGTGTCTCTTTCTCTACAAAGCCTCCATTGAGAACCAATCCATCCGAGTAGATCTGTCTGATGCCCATCACAGCTTCACAACCATTGAGCACACTCTCAAGCTCAAACATCTTAAGTTCTACTGGATAGATAGTATTTCATCACGCGTGCATGGCGCCTTTCCATAGGCTTGTAGAGCTTCAATAGTACGAAGGTCACTGCTGCAAAACCAATGACGTTGATCACGATGATCACTGTGATCCAAAATTTCCAGTTCCCGTTGGATCCTTCAATTCTTCCAATCCACACTGGATGTTCCCATTCTCTCTGATGAACTGATGAACGCTTCTGTACCCATTGTCTGCGAGCCCTCCAACGCTACCGTTCTCACAAGCACTTGACCTTTCCTGCAAAGTTATTTTTCTTTTCATACACCTTTCTCTCCTGCTCTCCTGCTCTTGTCTGCTCTTCACTGTGCCAATACACAATGAGGTTCATCAAGTATCTTGTTCTTTGTCGTCCAAGTGATTTGATATTGATGTCTGCCATGTTGCCATGTTGCTATCTGTTGGTACTTGTACCATCTTGAAGTCTTTCCTGTTCTGAATCCATAGCAGCTTTCCATCCCTTCGCACGACCTTGATGGACGTGACGCTCTTCTCAAAGAGAATGTGACCTTCAGTTCAAAGGTGAATCAGCCCATACTTTGCTATTGAAGACTGATGGAACAAGGTTGGGGAATCAACAGCAGAGAGCAGATGTTGGAGAACGGTGACTTGAAGGTACCACTCAACTTGCCAAATCGCTCTTCGACAGTTCAAGGCCGCATTAGAGTCTTTCGAGATGAAGATGAAAGCTGCTTGGAGGCGCAATTACCTGAAGCTTTGGAAAAGGAATCAGGTTCGAGGTTCAATGAGCATGGACTGCAAGTTAGAAGCGCATTGACTTCAAGATTTGTGGACCCCACAGTCATTCCAGAAGTGGAAGAATCACCAGAGTTGATGAGAACCACTTTGGTGAAAAGAGGAAGTAAATGCGAAAGCATGATGAAAAAGGATGAACTTGATGAGAAATTCTTTGATGGTGATGCAGTCGTTCCTTCAATCACAATCTTCAGCTATGAGCCAGCACCACCAGAAGATATGGGATTCTTTGCGCCAGGAAACAGAAAAAGAAAGAAGTGGGGCAAGCAATCGAGGAGATTACCCCTACTCCACCGCAAAAGAATCAAGACCCCGAATGTGAACTACAGTTGAGCCCAATGGATGTAGACAAAGCCTTGGTGAATGGAGTCGAGTTGACTAAGGATTCTCCTTTGGCAACTCTGCGGTCAGCGCGTTCATTTCTCGGCATTTCAGGCAGTGGCTCTAAGCTAAAGGTCTACACAAAGATCCTCAATCACAACAAGAAGATGGTCTTGTTGATTGCCAAAAGCTTGGTGAGTGACGCCAAAGCTCAAGAGACAAGAGAAGCATTAGGTCAAAGTGTGGCGAAGATGCCAGATGAAGCCACTCAGGCAAGGCACACGTTGACACACACGCCATATTCCAATTGGTGTAAGGAGTGCATTGAACATCGAGCACGCCCAGATCGCCATGGGAGAACAGATGGAGTAAAAAGATGAAGTATTCCTGAGGTCAGCTAGAGCAGTATGTTGGTTAGTTGCAATTGACAGCCAGACTGGATTCATTCACGCTGCGCACTTAGGAGGCAAGAACAAATTTTGCCTGATTGCGCAAGAGTTCGTGAATTTGCGCCAATTGTTGGGGTATTCAGCAATCACCTACAGGAGTGACAATGAACCCACAACAAGACACATCCTAAAGACGCTGATCAATGCTCGCCACAGCCTAGGGCTCACTACCAGATTGATTACCTCAAAGCTTGGAGATCAATCATTTCTGTCAGAGAATACAGTTGACAGAGTGAGGTGCGCAGTCAAGACTTGGTATCAAGATAGGATCAGATCTTGCACTTTGGACTTGGGCAGCAAGAGATGCCAGTTGCGCGCTGGATAGATTTCCGCCAGTCAAGGGTGCAACTCCCTATGAACTTGTCTATGGCAAGAGTTACAAAGGACTTCTTGCAGAGCATGGTGAACCAGTTCGTGGTTACATCAAGACTCAACAAGGGAGAAGCAAGCAGGCAATTATGCTTGTTCTTGGTAAAGGTTGAAAGGCAAGACACCTATGCACTTACAGATGGTGCGCAGGTAGTGCTCAGCAAACGCATCAGAGGAACAGATCAAGATTGGTCCAAAAAGTTACTGGGAATATCAGGCCAACTTTGGCGGAGGCAGAACCATTGTCACCAAGAGGAGAGCAGAAGCATTACCAGCAGCACAAACAGACATTCCTCGAGAGCGTGTAACGTTGAAGTTTCAGCGTGAAGATGCAGAAGCAGTCATGGCAACAGCTCTTGAAGGGGGAAGTGTTTCGGAGAAAGAAGAGCCACTATTCCTAGAAATTGCGATTTCAGCCCCACTGGAAACCCCTGGTGAAGGAATGAAAATAGATGGAGGTGAAAGAAAGCCAAGTGAGAGGAAACTCCAAGTAAGAAGCAGAAAGTTCTCTTTGCGCCTGAGAAGACACTTGAGAAGGTGAAAGCATTTCCCTCTACATCATTGCCTGCAGGACAGCCTAATCCAGTTACTCCTATACTATCTTCATTGAGAACACCATCAGCGCCATCGAGACCAAGGGAAGCAATTGAATTGCTTGAGGAGGAAAGTCCAATGGAGAAGCTCAGGCCATCAAATGATTCAAGCAAGAACGCTAGGATCAATTTGGTGAAAGTTGCAGGTGAAGATCTTTGTCATGTACACGAAGAGCTGAACCCAGTTGCAGAAGAAGTTGATGAAGAAGACTAGGTAGAAGAAGGAGATGAACCAGAAGAAGGGGAAGTGAAAGGACCTGAACGCTTATAGCGTGATGGAGAACATGAACCAGAAGAAGATCGAGAAGAATGGGTAGACAGAGTAGCTGATGAAGTGGAAGAGCAAAGACTCCGGAAGACGCAAGTGCTAGAGAGACCAGAAGGTAGCACAGAAGGAATCAGTTTCCTGGCAACACGCAATGTATATGACTGCAGAAAGAAGCCGTACCACCATGAAGATGGAACAACAAGCAAGAGGTGGAAGAGAAGACCAAGACTAGTAGAAAGAGAGATGACATTTTCTCACCAGCGACATCAGGACATGTACTGATGCTTCTACCCACAATATTCTTGCGAGAGTCAGTGAGGAGGAAGAAGCAAGAGAGGGAGAAGGAGCATTTTACCAAATGCTAGGATGTCTTGATGTGAAAGATGCACTGTTGCAGGTTCCACAAGAAAAGCCATTGAAAGCGAACTTGAGAGGAGAAGAATTCTTGGTGAAAAGGAATTTACACGGGCAAAGATTTGCTTGCGATGAAGAGAGCAGTTGCAAAAGTGAGACACTGGGTTTCAAAGCTTTGTTCAAGCTCCTCCAGGCATCAATCCATTGGAGTCCTCCACAGCTTTCACCAATTGCATTGCCAAGTCCACGTCAAACTTATCATTTGGCGTTTCATGAATTTCTTTCAAGTCTTTCCTGTAGCCCCATCAACTGCACTCAATTACTTCTCAAATACCCATGACCGCTCTCTGAATGCCTTTATCCCTTCTTCTTGTGTTGGGCTTTGTTATCAATTTTAACCAAAAAGTTCTTGATGACTTCTTGTCCTCAACTGCTTTCTTCACTGCCTCAGCTGCTGATGTTGCTGCCAGCGTACTCTGCGCTATAGTCTGAAGGATTTCTCTGATCTCCTCCATCTCCACTGCGCACTAATGTCTTTCTGACACAACGTACGGGGTACAGAGCGTCGCTCGCAACAGTTTATCACCAGTCCAGCTGTTTGGGTTCCAAAGGCCCCAAACCTATGGCTCGAATCGCACCCGGGATCCCAGTGACCTAGGAGCTTTTCTTCCTGGAGCTCAAAGGGGGGTTACCCTTATCCCTGGTCTGCTACCATGCAAATCTTTTATTGATCCAAAGAGGGCTTCAGCACAGTCTCATGTACAAGCAAACTGTACTCTCTATGATGTCAGCAATGCTACATAACTCTACTATGATCTGTGCTGAAAATGCTTCACAATATACTACAATATCTGCTCTTACGGTACTAATCGAGTCCCATTGTTCAACCGTCGGCGCTGGACCGATCCTGCGTCCACGTGGAATGCGGCTGCCCTGAATGCGCTGTGAGCCTTTGCTTCACCTGAGCAGGTCTGCTATGTTTCCAGATGCATTGAGTGCCAAGAATCTTCTTTCGAGTCGCTGCATGGCGCTCAAAAATCGAGTTCAAAAGCTCCACGAAGCCCTGCGAACAGCACTGAACAGAGCGAGCTGAAGCTAGAAGGACATAGCTTGAAGGTCAGTGCTGAACGCCCGCCTCGCCAGAGGCCAGGTTCGCCTGAAGCAACGTGCAAACCACACAGGAAAGCGCGACTTGTGCCTTCTCTTGTGCTCTGGCCTTGTTTTCTGTTTGTCCTTTCTTTTTGAACGTAGGCCGAGAGACGCGGGGTTAGTTAAATAGTGGGAGAAGCTGAGGGTAGCAAGGAGGCAAAAAGCTCGGGTTGGGATGATCGAAACTTTTGGTTGCTTCACAATCTCTATTATCTCTGCCAGATTTTGAAGACCACAAATCTGTCCCTTTGGAAAAAAAAAAAAAAAAACAACCGCCGGGCTCGTTTCCGCGCGTGCGGTTGAAGACATTTGTCAAGTCTTCGCGTGGGCAATGATGACGAATGTCCGGTGTGTGATTGTGTTTTGCATTGATGTGAAATGTTTGTTGCAGCATGTAGTACATGAAAACGACTCAAAAATCGTTGCGATTTTGACATCGAAATGCTACGAGACTGTGGTTTCGTGCCAAAAAAAGGTGCGCTTTTTCATCCTCCAGCTTCGTCAGAAGATCGTCTTTATTCTGGTGCCAGCGCCATTGCCACTGTCGAGTGAACTTCATGATGTTTGGGTTTATACCTTCACCTTCACATGAACGCAAGCTAGCGGGGACCGACTCCTTACACAAACGCCACATACCATCAATGGGACCGGTGTGGATGAGCAACTCTCCTGACCTCAAGCATCCGACAACCCCCCCGAACGGAAAAACTTCGGAATACGCAAGCAGTCAGTAACCAAGCCAAGTTTCCATGCGTCGACGTCTAAAAAAAGAACTGACACACCCCGACCACCTGTGCGTACCGACCTGTCTGTGTGTGTGTGTGTCTGGCTTATCTTCGTGTGCGCTATGATGCACTAACATGCAACGTCTTTAGCCCCCTACCCAACCCCCCTGTGTTTTGTAGGATCCCAGGTTCCCCTAGGCGTGTCTACGCTATACGTGTGTAGCACCTTTTGTCCGTAGTTACTTGTACATACATTCTCTTCAGTCAGCTGCCGCTTAATTCATTTGGCTCAAGCCCAATACCTGCACTCCGTGTCATAGAAAAGTGTGCTCGTCGTCGCCCGCACACTTGAACGTGAGAGAGGGTCTTACTTGGTGTTTTCCATCAGGTCCAGTGTACTTCACTGCCACTTTGGGGAACCTACCCCTCACCCCCCACCCTCTTCCACAGCGTGTGCGTGTGTGGCTTCCTAATAAAAATACACACAACATGAACATCACTAGCCCCCCACCCAACCCCCCCCTCCCCCCTAACCCCCCAGTGTCCCCATCTTCCATATTC